TTAGATTCTCAAAGGAGTGCACAACCTAGATTCCTTGCATGTGCAGGTCAAATAGGGTTCATGCTGCTATGAGAATCTAATGCCGCTGCTGACCTGACAGGAGACAGGGCTCAGGTGGTAATGCCAGTGACCGGGAGCCACTGTAAATACAGATGAAGCTTCACTCACTTGCCCAAAGCTCACCTTTTTGTTGTGTGGTCTGGTTTCCAACAGGCCACAAACTAGTACTAGTCCATGGCCTGGGGTTGGGAACCCCTGTTTTAAAGAACCAAGATTGCTGCACATCACATGCTCTGGTCAAGTAAAGCACTGATGTTCATTTTCTTTCTACTCATCAGTTAGCTCAAGCTTATCATTCATACATAGCTTTTTTTTTTTTTTGAAATATATGAGTTTGTTTACAGTTCGGCTGTCATTGTCTACATATGAAGAAAAAATAATTTTACTATATTAAAGTAATGGTAGCCACTAAAAGAAAAAGAAAAGCTCACTTCACCAACACAGGAGCTATATAATAATGCTTCTTTTCAAGTGTGTCCACTGATTTTTATCTATATATGTAGAAAAATTATTAATATAACAAGTTACTAAAAGAAAATGAGAAGCCCAATTCACAAAATACAGAGCCAATAATAGTGATGATCCACTGAAGACTCCCTTTTGATGGTGGAGTACACATTAATTCATACAGATTAACTGTGTTTAGAAATGTATTCAGCTTTGCAGATGTTAAAAACCACTATAGTCAGCTGGGCACAATGGCTTATGCCAATAATCCCAGCACTCTGGGAGGCTGAGGCAGGAGGACTGCTTGAGCCCAGGAGTTCGAGTCCAGTCCAGGTGACACAGCAAGAACTCGTCTCTACAAAAAAAATTTAAAAATTAGCTGGATGTGGTGGTGCATGCCTATAGTCCCAGTTACTCAGGAGGCTAAGGCGGAAGGCTTGCCTGAGTCCAGGAAACTGAGGCTGTGGTGAGCTGTGATCATGCCACTGCACTTCAGCCTGGGTGACAGAGTGAGATCCTGACTCAAAACAAAACAAAACAAAACAAGTCCCCAAACAAAAAACCCATTACAGACTTAAATCGAACTTTCTGTTTCCTTCCAAGCATTTTCATTTTTTGTAACTTTTTACATTAGCAGATTATAAACATCTGTGTTTAGGTAATAAACCTAGATTTCCCTCTAAGCCCATAATTCTGATACATTCTAACAGAAAAGAGACATTTTTATGTGTATGGGAATATTTTCTTCAGGCCAGGGATACACAGCATATGCTAATTTGCATGACTTTAATAAAAGTGTTCTAATTAAAGCTTACTCTAACTTGTGATTTATTTTTAAAAAAAACAACAACTCCAGGTTGATTTTCTGTGGCCTGGACGGCCTCCGGCCCTGTAATCTTTCCTGGTAGTTAATGTGGTGTGTTTTCAAAAACTACAAGATATGATCATTGTTTGTTTATTAAAATAACAGAGGAAAGAATATAAGGTACAAAATGCAAGCAGATTACCTGTGACTTCGGATTACTATTACTGATGTTTCCTTTTATTAAGACAGGTAAACAGGAGTCAGTTTTGGTGCAGCCTTTTCAGGGAAGTCTTTTTTTATTTTAAGATTTCCTGAAAACAGTTTTAAAGAAAATGGACATAGAACTAGAGGAAACAGTCCAAAATGAAATTCGTCTGGTCTCAAGTAACATTTCTTAGTAGAAGAAATGAGTATGTCCTAAGATCCATTCTGGGTACACAGTTTTTTTGTTTTTTTTATTTTTTGTTTTGAGTTGGAGTCTCACTCTTATAGCCCAGCTTGGAGTGCAGTGGCATGCTCACGGTCATCGCAACCTCAGCCTGCTGGACTTAGGCGATCCTTCCGCCTCAGCCTTTCAAGTAGCTGGAACTACAGATGCATGCCACCACGCCCAGTTAGTTTTTGTGATTTATTGTAGAGATGAGGTATCACCAAGTTGCCCAGGCTAGTCTTGAACGCCCAGGCTAGTCTTGAACCCCCAGGCTCAGGCAATCCTCTCGCCTCAGCCTCCCAAAGTGCTGGGATTACAGGCTGAGCCACCACACCTGACCCTGGGTGCACATTTTGCTTTGATTGAGCTTTATTTGCTTTTTGCAACAGCATTGAAGAAAAAACCAACTGACCACTTACAACCTAAACAATGGTTTTAGGGTATGATTAAGAAATGCACCTGGCCTCACTCAAACAACACGTTTGTTTAACCTGGTGACTTTCCTGTGTCTGGGGTCAGGCAGGAGCATTCTTGTTTGGGGGGAGGAAAGAAGAGCAAATAGAACTGACTCACTGAGAACAAAACACTACCAACTACTCTCTGTAATTACAACTGTTTTAACAGTTTCTAGTAGGCAAGGCTATGGTTTAAGTGACCCACTATAATTTGGGATGAAACCCCGGGAAATCATGCCAACTTTAGGAGTTACATTTCTGAGTTTACTCAGCATGAGGAACCCACTGAAGTGCTGAGTATTCTTTCTTTGGCATAAATTTACGTCAAGGGAAAAATTAACACTAAAGGGAATTTAGCTAGAGAGGAAAAGTATCACAACATCCATCCCCAGGAGCAAACCATAGTTTATTTTACTTTTTGCATTTTTTTATTATGGAAAATTTCAATCACATAGAAAAATAATACAGAATAAAATAATAAACTCCTGCAAACGCATCATTCAGTTTTGATAATCACCAACACACGGTCAATCTGATGTCACTGTATCCTATCCACTTCCTTCTTTGACTTTTTTAAAGCAAATTCCAGACAGCTGATATTATACTTTATACAAGCTTTCACTGATAGTATATGTCTATATTTTTCTAAAGATCACTCCAGAAATCTCATTGAGCATGAGATGTTTAAACTAACTTTAACCACACCTTGTAAAACATTTTACACTAAAACCTATCTGATTAGAAAACAAATTTGCTTGAATATAGCTGGGTAATTAAAATGACAAAATAATTTGAAACACAACCCTCTATGAATTAATTTAGGGGACAAAGCAACATTCTCAGATTGAGAAAATAGTGCATATTACTTAATTCCTATGATCCTAGTCTTTGTGGACATTTCAATCAACAAGAGATACGTTAAAGGTAACATGGTAAGATTTGCCGGGATGGAGCTTGGAAAACTGGGAGGAGGCTACGAAAGGGGCCAGGAGCTACCTAGAACAAAACTTTCCCCTTTTCTTTTACTACACACATAGGAAATAAAACAGAAGGCCAATAGGCCAAACCTTGGGAGCTTCAAAAGGCACTCATCAAGTAGAGTAGCTACTTACAATAATTTATTACCAATCTTAAAGCAAAGATCAAAAGGAACTCCATCTAGTATTTATATTCAATTTCTCATTGCCTGATGACTAATTTGTAGGAGAATGAAGGGAAGCCAGAATAATCTGAGGTGACTTTGATACAATGCCACAAAGGATATGAAGAGGAAGCCAGTAGAAGCTGCCAATGGCTAAATTCCATTAAGAGGTCTAATAAAAGAATAATGGAATTTCCCTTAACTATGAATTTAAAAATGGTAGAAGTGGGCAAAATTTAGACAAATAAGGCAAAACCTTTGATATGCCATAGCCTTTTGGTTGTTGTTGTTAAATGTTAACTTTAGCCACTGTTGCACTTATGCTAATTAAATGGTTTCATCTAAAAAATGCAAATTCCCCTCAGAAATCTGGCCAATCTCACTCCTTTTGCTGTTGTATTACTTATCAGCTTGTACCTTCTGTCTGCATTGTCAGATACTACATGCTCTCTCAATCTCTTTCAAACAAATTGCTGTATTCTGCAAAGTGGCTGATTTAGCTAGAAAACTGTAACTTGAAATGATATAATTTTTAGTATTGTATATCACCATGGTCACATGGAGCATAAACACCTCTTTTAAGAGTTTTTGGTGCTTAAGTCAATTGGTCACTATAGAACCACTAGAAGCTACTCAAATTCTTTCAACTTCTTTGAACTGGCATAATTTTGTCCTCCTGATTCCGGATATCTCTGTATTCTCAACTGAGGAAAGTAGTTTTCACACCACTTATTTTGGCTAGTTAAAGAATCCCTACCACATGTCTCCCTGTAAATTTATAGATAAAGATTTAAGTTTATATTAGCATTTCAACTGTGCAGATTTTTTGTTTGCTTTAAAATCACCTCGAATTAACAAATTTACTGGAAGCTTACCTGATATAGAAGTTCTGCCCGAGTTTCAGAAATCTTGTAATATATTTCCCCATGAAGATGTGGTGTTAAATATTTTCTTTAAAATGGCTATGTGTGTGTGTGTGTGTGTGTGTGTGTGTGTGTGTGTGTGTGTGTGTGTGTTAGAGTCCTTATCTTTTACAAATAAGTGGTGAAATACTTATAAGCGCAAAGATGTCTGGGAGTTCTTCAAATATGTGGACTGGAGAGTGAAGTATAAATGAAACAGAACTGGCTAGGAATCCATAAAGCTGTGGGATGGGTACATGGAAGTTGTTATGTAATTTGGTCTTCCTTGTGTAGCAAAACTCTGGTCAGTAGGTGTTTCAGATATAATGCTATGCATCGCTTTTTGTTAGAAGTTTTATTTAGAAAAACAACTTTCTATGAGGAGCAATGGAGAACCAGGATTTGGAAGTCAACATTTCAGCTATTTTCACCAATCCAAAAGCCAAGTTCATCCAGTACAGTGTTTGGAAAGAAAAAACAAAAACCAACAAAACCAAAACCAATCTAAATCTGTCTTTTCACAGTCTTTGAGATTTCAGTGCCAATATATAGCTAGATTTTAATGTGACTAAAATATAACAATTTTAGTTCAGAGATACAAAATTTCTGTATTCTTTAAAAGCGAAAGAGTTGAAAAATTAAAAATGAAATATAAATGTAATTAGTAAATGTATTTCAGAATCACCATACATTGGTGAAAACTGTACTACACATTCAGAAAGACTTATAATACTTAACACATGAATAACACACTTCTTACCTTGTGATCATATGGACTGTAAGAATGAAACACCCGAGAAAGATCTTTTGTCCTTTGCTTTTTCTGTGGGGAAAAAAACAATTTGAGTTGCCAGTTCATAAAAATTATACATGTGTATATATCTATATCTAACTATATATATATTGTTAATTTAGCGATGCTTCCTTTGTGTAAGCTGAGGAGACACTTGGATGCAATTAGAAACCAAAGTTACTTGATGGTTATGTGGGTTACTGTCACGGAGCAGCCAGGCAACCTCTTCCTAGAAGGTTTCGTAACTAAAACACTAATTATCATCATAACTTCCATTTAAAAATGCATAATTATTTCCAGAGACTAAAATGAAGAAGAAAGTTTGAAAGAGAAAGAAAATTCAATACACATTTAGAGCACTTTCAATTTCATTGTAATAGCCACTGCTGCTATTCAGACTTGGGCGCAGACATGCCATTCGTTTAAATGTCAGCCTTTTTGGTCACAGCCGCAGTCTGACTGCTTGGGCCTGCAGCTGTGAGGGTACCTTTGTTCTGTCATTCTAGATAGCCCAGGTGCCTTGCATGGTGTTTTACACGCACTAGGTACTCAAACATTAGCTAAATTAATGAATAAATAAAGGTATGAGTTAGGCATATAACCATTCATTTCTGTAATGATGACACATCAGCCTCATATATTAGTTATGAGAGAGAAGGCTCTTTTCACTTCTAATGACAGGTACTTCTGAAGCTGAACCTAGGCACTACACAAGTTCCTTCTTCATCCCCCGCTCCCTAGTGTGTCTGTGACATGCAAAAGGTGTTGGGCTTTCTTATTTTTGCCAACCATAATAAAGCAGCTTGTTTTCTCATCCACTGTGATCTGTCCACCTCCCATAATCACTATGAACAAGTTGTATAAGGTTCCAAATCTATGTATATACATACACCCACAACTGATTATTATTACTTTCAAAGAAAGGAGATCATTTTATATACAGTTGTCCCTTGGTACTCCCCGAGGATGCCCAAATCAACTGATGCTTAAGTCTCAAGTAAAATGGCATAGTATTTACACATAACCTAAACACATCCTCCTGTAAACTTTACCTTTTTAGAGACAGGGTCTCACTCTGTCACCCAGGCTGGAGTGCAATGGCATGATCATAGCTCACTGCAGCCTTGAACTCTTTGGCTCAAGTGATGCTCCTATATCCTCCCAAGTAGCCAGAACTATGGGTATGAGTCACCATATCCAGCTAATTTTTGATTTTTGTGGAGACAGGGTTTCACTATTTTGCTTAGGTTGGTCTCAAGTGATCTTCCCATCTAAGTCTCCTGAGTTGCTGGGACCGCAGGTGAGTGCCAGCTAAATTTTTGTTTCATAGCATTATTATTATTATTATTATTATTATTATTATATTTTGTAGAGACAGGGTCTCGCTATATTGCCCAGGCTGGCCTCAAGCGATCTTCCCACCTCAGTCTCCCAAAGTGCTGGGATTATAGGAATGAGCCACTGCACCTGTCCTTCCTATATACTTTAATAATCTCTAGGTTATGTATAATAATACCTAACACAATATAAGCGCTATTTAAATAGTTGCTATACTATATTTTAAAGGTGTATTATTTTTAATTGTTTTATTTTTATTTTTTAGAGATGAGGTCTTGCTCTCTCACTGAGGCTAGAGAGCTATGGCATATCACAGCTCACTGCAGCCTGGAACACCTGCTCAAGCAATCCTCCCAAACAGCTAGAACTATAGGTGCCAGCCACCATACCTGTCTGTTATGTTTTATTTTTCTGAATATTTTTGATGCACCACCATTTGTTAAATCCAAAGATGTGAAACCTGCAATTACAAAGGGCAGACTATACATTGTTTAGAAATTTACTTTTTCCACTTCACAATTTATTCTTGCCAAATTTCCACGCTTGTATATACAGATTGGCAATTCCTTATAAAGAGTTCTAAAATTAAAACAAAAAAACTTTACAAGTACTTACTTTTATTTTGCCATTCATTTCAATTTTCTAATATGATAAATCCTTGCACAAACATCTTTGCCAACCTCCGAGTGTGTTTTTTATTTTTTAGAGTATGTATTCAAAAGAATAAATTATGGGGCAGTGAACGACAGTTTGTGCCTGTAATCCCTGCACTTTGGGAGGCCAAGGTAGGAGGACTGCTTGAGGCCAGGAGTTCAAGACCAGCCTGGACAAATAGTGAGACCCTGTCTCTATGTAAAAAAAAAAAATTTAAATTAGAAAAATAAATAAATGAATGAATGATGGAAATCTAGTTTCAGGATCAAAGAGTATGCACATTTATTACCTTGTAGATAAAGTCAAATTGTCTCCTCCTCTCAAAACACTGTACCATTTTGCTTTACTAAAAGTAAATGGAATAATAGATCACAGCTTTGTGTGTGTAATTCTTAAAACATTCTCTCTTCCATTTAAAGTTTAGAACATTTCTAAATTTACATGAGACCAACATTTTTGGAACAGATATCAAACATTTTCTTGGCTGCCAATTATAAAATTAATTTCTTTTCCATCACAGAGTTAGCACACTATGACATCTTAAGATGCTATTATGCAAGTGGCCTGTTTGTTCTTAATACTGCCCCTATCTTGTTTCTGGTTCTACTCTGATATTGTTACTCCAACTACCAGTAGACTGGGCTGCTCTGTCTTAACTTGTGGATGAGTCCTTGCCTAGTATTCCTGGATTCTAGGGAAGCATTTTCCACCTTTTGCAGTGTCCTGGAGGATGTATATCTACCATACCTCCAACATGCCAGAGACCTAAGCCGATCCCTGCACGATCTTCTGCAGCTGCTTGGCTAAGTAGTTGGATTTGATATGAATCAGGACCTTGTAATAAAGTCATTTGTAGACACTCATAGTTTTCCCATAGACCAATTTCCCTACCCTATTTCAGAGCTATCCTTGAAATCACTAATCCAGTGGTAGTCCTTCACATAACTTGGCCTTGCCACGCTGTGCTGACAGCCACTAAAAAGCATCCCTCCTGTAGCTCAGTCGAAATTCTCACCTCCTCTGTCCACCTGAGCAGTGATTCTGACCACGGAACTCTAAAGGAATTTAACACTCCCTTACCCTGGAGAGCAGAGATGTATCTTTAAGATGACTGGAAACAGTTCCCTTGGCTAATGATATGTTAGTTCTGTGACCTCTAGAATCTGCTTTGAACAGACCGTTTGCCCATCAAAATTCAGTAGTTTATTATTTTTTCTTTCCTTTTCATGCGTCCTTTTTGTTGGTGCAACAGTTCTTGGCTTATACTTCAATCAGAAGGAAAATGACAGATATTAATACTTCCTTTGGTAGGAGACTTGCTATAAAACATTGGGGGAATTGTTTTCAGAAAAAAACATATGCTGGAGAAAATAAAATAGGCAGCATGTCAGTATTAAACTTATGAAGAGTCCCAGGGACTGAGCCATCTTGGAAACAGAGCTACCAGCTCAAGTTGGCAGGTGGATAAGTAATATTGAGAAGTTGTTTTGTGTGACTGTTTTTATGGGGGTTTTGATTTTATATCTCTATTTTGATAGCTAAAACCTATACATGCTTTTTGTCACAGGCTACCTTACTTTTGGAAAGGAAATGGTGTATAAATAAGCAACACCATTCGTATTAGCTCCCAAAAAACTAGTGAAGAAAGAATGTCTTTTTTTGGCAACTAATTTATCATATACAAATATAGTGAAGTCTTGGCCATGAATAGTAAAGGTTATATGTATCAGTCTAGTTAACTGAAAACCACTGCTCTTCTTCCTCTGAAGTCAATCATACAGCCCGGTAGTGTATCTTCTGGAATCCAGAATAGGGGTTGGCAAACTATGGCACAATGGCCAATCCAAGCTAAAGTTTTATTGAAATAACAGTCACACTCATTCGCTTATGTTATTATCTATGACTGCTTTTATGCTACAATAGCAGAGTAGAACAGTTACAATAGAGACCATATGGCCCACAAATCCTAAAGTATTAACTATCTGGCCCTTTACAGAAAAACTTAACCACCCCTGATCTAGACTGTCTATCCCTGGCCATGTCTATTTCTGACAGTAGTCCCTTAACCCCAAACCAAATAGATAACTAACTATCCAAAAAATTGCCTAGCTCCTTCTATTCGGTCAATGACGACAGTTCAAGAACCAGTCATAACCTATGACCTGACACACTGAGATGAATGTACCAGGCATAATAACAATTAGCTGTCTTCACAATTTTACCTCAGTGCATTGTATGTAGTATAAGTGGGTTTCCAGAACATGCTGAAATAGATCTGGGGTTTTCAGAGCCTTCTGTATTTATACGATAACTGCTGATGATAAAGGCTCTCGGAAGACATCCTTCACTAAGTTTTAGCAATAAAGTCAAGTGGTAGGTTTCATGTGTAAGTGACTAAAATACGGCCATTGTTCCTTGTGAGCCCGTTTTTCATATGTAGACAATGTTAAGAGCACTACTCTACAAAGCTTGTTGAGCCTTGCTATCAGCCTTGCTATTAACTGAGACTAAAAGCTGGGCCAAAAATGGAATAATTAGGTATTTTCCTACTGCATCATAGTGTACGTCTAAATTACCTCCCACTTTTTAGCCTGTTAAAACAAACATTCCAGTCATGCAACCACCTGTTAATTCTTCAAGTTTTAAAAAAGTAAACATGTTAAACAAGTTGCGTGATGGACTTGTAAGAAGGGTGGCCAAAGTACAGTGGGTATAGCAAACATTTCTCCCAGAATTGTACTAAGTACCTTCAAGTCACCTTCATCATGAATCCCAAGGTACAGGCCACAGAAGTGAGAGGATAGTAAAAGTAACTACATCTGTTGGACAAGAAGTTTTTTTTTCTTTTTTTAAAAGTAACTACCTACTGAGTCCTGCAGTCCATGTGGGCTGCAATGGATTTAAAAAGTGAGGCAGTATGCAAGTGGGTAAAACTTCTAGATTCCAGAGAAGCTGAACCCCTGCAATTTCTATCCTATAAGCATGTCATAAAACGCTTCTGTATTCATTCTCCAAGGACAGAAAACATACTGATCCCT